GCAGTTAGATTTGGCAACTTATTATTATTAACTTACTAGGCAACTTATGTACCAGATGTTGTAAATAGAACCTGTAGAAGGGAAACGTGACACCGACTATAGGATGGTAAAAATTAAAAGCTGTGTTCTCACAGATTCTGCCACCCTGAACTCCCTCTAAAGACTTAAAAATATATTGATGCTAAGATAAGCAGAAAATCTTCCACCAGCTTGATTTGCAGTTTAATCTTTGACTAGGTCATAGCAGCGGCTTGTTTGAAGTGAAAGTGCCCGTGTTTACTTTTTCCCCTGACCACAGGAACGCTGAGATCACGGCGGTCCGAGCGCGGTGCACGTGAATGGAGCTTTGAGGGCAGGGAATCCACGCGGCCCTGCCGCAGCGTGAGCGTGGCCGCGCGTGGCTGTGCTCCCTTGGCCCCAGGGCAGCACCTCTCTGCATCCCACCCCTTTCCAAAAGGGAGCAGATGTGCAGGGAAGGGCTGAGCACGGTGGGTTTGACTCTCATCCCTGTGTGCTGTGATCTGAGGACACTGGGCCTGGATCTGACCTCCGTGCTTGTTCTCTAGTATGTGAATTCAGGGCAGCTTTGGTTTTGCAAGTTAAGTGGCATGCTGCTGTTTTGCAGCACAGTGGACTACTTGGTACCTGCTAAGAACATCTTTCTCAGGATACTTTTGCACTCAGGATACTGTTGTAGAGTAGCTAGAACTCTGCAAGCATGCCCTCCCTTACTGCACCTTAATGGACCTGGGTAGAAATGTGTGACAACTTGCAAGAAGCCCTGAAGTATGCCCTGAGCGCCTCTAGCAAACACAGATATGGGCACATGAATGCAGGCAGTGGGGCTCCAGAGCCTTCCTGCAGTGTACAATTAATTCAGTGTGGCCCTCCCTAAACCTTTTTTTTTGCAGATGTTTACAAGATGCTGTGGTGGAAGTGGTTGATGCCTCTGGACAATGAAGACTGGGAAATTAAAAGCAAAAGTCATGGAGACCAAAGCAAGGAAGACCACCCCCTGAGAACAGCCAGGGACAAGATGGCTGCAAGGTAATGAGCTGAGGGTGGAGTTTTGCTTTTTATTTTCTTCCTCAAACAGCTTGCAGAGGCACTAGGACAAAAACATTTCAGATATTTATCTGACTGGGAGGTCAATGTCCTTCTGAATAACAAGTGGGTGGAGTGAACCTTTCTTTCTCTCCTCTTGAAACCAACTGCCTAAATACTGTGAAGTATGGACATTGGACAGATGTGGCTTTGGCAGGGTCACAGGAAAACAGGACACAAACTCAGTGCCATTTTTTTCCTAAAAGGAAGCCATGTAAATGCAGAAAACATGCAGGAAGTCATAAGTGTAACTTGGAGCAGGAGCTGGTCTCCCTTTCAAAGTTTCCTGAGCTGCTGCTGCTGTCAAGCCTAGTAACTCTGACCTTCCCTCTAGTTCCTTCAGCTCATTCATTTAACACAGCAAGAGGCAGCTGCTGGCACAAGTGATCTTTCTGTAGCTTTTCTTCAAAGGGTGCCAGAACATGTGTAGGGAGCATATTTGATTTTTTCTTTTTTTTTGAAGAATGTGTTAATGATACCAAATGAGTGTTCTGTTTAGTCCGTTTCCAGCATTAATACCAAATCATTATTTTCATTAAACAAATAGGTGTCAGTTTTGAGTAGGTAAGTTAACTTAGACTCATAAAGGTAAACTTTCTTGTGTGAAAAGGAGGGGATGCTTCTGGCTGCAGTGGTCTGAAGCTGAATTTAATGTACTGCAGATATCACAGGGGATCAGAATATTTAGTCAGGTCTTCTAAGTGCTTCATCTTGAGGTTTTGCATTAGACTACGTGATCGGCATTTAAAAAGTTCCCTTAGACACAAAACATGCTGGACTTTGTTTTTATTTTTGCTGGAATAGAATGAAACACTGAAGCATCAAAGCACTGCTTTGGCCTACAGAGGATTGTGTTGGGGAGTGTTCCTCTAATTATTAAAAAACAGCAGAGCATGAAGTTCTAATGTGTGAAACAATGTAGCATGCCATGATAATTTGATAGCACATGGTAAGCCTGGCTAGAGGGAAGGGTGGATGCTAGAGGTGGTGTAAGTGTCTTGTTGTGAGTTGTCAACAGCAGAGTTAGTAACAATGACTTCTGACAGCAGAGATCTGGTTTCTGAAGTTTTTCCACATCAGAAGACAGCAGAATCAGGGCTGCCTTGACAGGTTTCATGAGTAGGACTTGAGTGGTATAACTTCTCAGTGACCTGAGATTTCAAGTCATTTGATAACAAGGAAATTTCTCGCATCGTGGGATAATGTAGGTGCAAAGTGTTCCTCCTTAACAGTGCTTTGGCCCTTTCTGACACATTCTGCAGCATTACCTTGGAAAAGCATATTTTCTTGTTTGAGTTCCAAAATGGAGGTCATAGATGGTCACAAGGGAAACAAATTGACCTTGGCAGCAAATGAACTTGGACTGTCAATATTGTGAACTGCAGGGTATGACCTGAAGGTGAAATGAATGATCACCAGTAAAGTCCATCCCTTTTTCCTGTGGCCAAAACCTTCGTGAGTTGTGTGAGTCCAAATTGCAGTGTGTTGAATTATCCCAACACAGTGATAAGGTAGGTAGGTTTGGCAAGCTACTGCTGCATAGTGTTACAAGGGTTATGCACAGAATAGCAAATATAGCCCTTTACCTATGTGCCCTGTGTTTCTACCAGGACAAGTGTAGGTAGAAGTGATTCTTTGTCTTGTCTGAAGGTACTTCTCACTGTCATGGGTCCTTTTTATTTCATAAAGAACTGTCCTAAGAAAGAAAAGCTCTTTGGGGACTGCTGTGTAAATGTTATATTGCTTTTGCTAGATCACTTTGTCTTGCTAATTTAAATTAATATATTTCTGGATATTGTTCATCAGAGGCTAAGCTTTACTATTACTTTATTTTTTAAAGGAAAAATAAAGAACTGAGGAGAAACCTTTGCAAGTTATCTGCTTTCTTGATAGCTTCCTTAAGTCTGATTTACTTTCTTTTACGCCTACATTCAGAGTTTTGTGGATGCCTCAGCTCGCAGTTGGAGTATACTACAATTACACTTCACTGAGTGTAAAAACTAGTGGTTTGGTAGAGGTGTTTTTGTTAGTTTTCTGGAAAAATCTGAAGCTCTTTAAAGCAACTTAAATCTGTTCCCCAAGAATCATGCTTTTATCGCTTTGTAGCAAAGAGGAGTCGAGCTGTTGGTTACATGCATCCTCACAGAAAGCTGTGAATAGAATCATAGAATCATTATGGTTGGAAAAGACCTTCAAGATCACCAAGTCCAACCCTAAACCCTTCAACACCATCCTGCTAAACTATGTCCCTAAATGCCTCATCTACATGTTTCTTGAACACTGCCAGGGATGGTGACTCCACCACTTCCCTGGGCAGCCTCTTCCAATGCTTGACTAGTCTTTCCATATAGAAGTTCTTCCTAATGGCTAACCTGAACCTTTCCAGTTTGAGGCCATTTCCTCTTGTCCTATCTGTAGTTATTCTGGAGAAGAGATTGACACTCACCTCTCTACAACCTCCTTTCAGGTAGTTGTAGAGAGCTTAGAGAACCTTAGAGATTTGTGAAAGTACCAAGAATTCAGAGATAATGCAAAATCATAGAAATCTGTATAGAGAACTTCTTGTAAGTAGCAATATTCAGATTGAGGGTTCAAGAAGAAAGAAAACGTAAGTAGATTTTGTCAATTTGTAGGCCAGAAAGCTGACTGCCAGGCCAAATGTGGATTGTGCTGTTACTTCCTCTCCTTGGAAGGTCTGAGCAGACAGACCAAGCATGTTAGACTGAGTTATTTCTTTCTAGACAAGGCACACAAGAAAAATCAGGCCAGAGCAAAGTTAAGATACACCTGTGTGGTGTGAATGTTAAGAGATTAATAACCAGCCCCCAAATTGCTAGGGTCAGTAGTCCCGTTGTGCAAGCAAATAAGGGACACTGGTATTGTCAGACTTCAACATCTTAAAATTTATACTGCCTACAAAAAAGGTGGAGCTTGTGGTTTGGACCTTATTTACAGAGAGGTAATACTAATAATATTTCCCCATTTTGTACATAGAGGACAACTTTATTTCTGCAGATGTTTCTGCACAAAGCATGACATTTCACTGCCAAACCATCATATGGTTTCCTCTTGTGTATATGCCACAGGCAAGTGTTGACTTGAACATCTTTTTTCTTAAATATTTGAAATGCACTACCACATTGGATTAAAGATAGCCTTTGAAAAAGAACTAGTAATAGGGTACCTCTAAGTCACCTAACTAAACACATGCCATATATTCTCTGGAAGTCTAATTTGTCTTGAGAGTTAGTGATCACATCTGTTACCTTATAAGTATGTGTTTGGATAATGCATATGAAAGTCTTTGCTTCTATTGAAGAAATGGGATGACTGTGAATGTTCCAAGTACTCCCTACCTTGGATAAAGGCCTAGGTGACTTGAGAGACCTAAAAATATACTCAGTCTGACATATCTATTTACTGAGTCAGGCTTCCAGCAGGAACACTGTTAGTTGAAGCGAAGCTGTAAATGAAAATTGTGTTTGTTAGAATGTCTGAATCTTGTAGAATTAAAGTAACTTGTGCAGACTGCTGCTTTGATGTGGGTCTTGAGAGGACAGGATTCCTTTTCAGAGGCTGTTTTCATCTTTGATATCAGATTGTTCAAAGTATGTGTGTTAACATTATTAGTATTAGCAGCCCTCCTGGCTCTCTGGAGATGCTACCTTCAAAATCAGTGGCCTCAGAGATAAAGATTTGCAGCACTTATTGCTTGAACTGAACTGCATACTTCAGATGGAAGTTTAATACATTTAAGAACATTTTCATTTTAGCAGACTTGATGAAGATCGTTTAAATTGGTTAATAAATTACTGAATAAATACATGAATAAAATCCCTTGAGTGACAATCCTATTATGCTGTAGTAAGTCTTATTTGTGAAGCAGTTACATTCACTAAACTTACATGCAACAAGTTTGCAAGACTTTCTCACTGAAGAACAAATACAACTGAATGCTGTATTTTCAGACCCACTATAACTATATAAGGACAAAATTGATGGAATTAAGGCAAACATCCCATGGTAACAGGGAAAAAATGGTTAGATTTCCGTATAGAAAAGGTTATGAAAGGAAGATAAGTAGCAGAAGATGCTCTTACATATGGGAGTTGTTTACTGGTTATATATTTACTTAACATATAAGATCGATATGCTTTGAATATGCCTGCAAAGAGTCTTAATACTGTGTAGAGCAAGTGAAGTGCAATATGATTCTTGATTTTAAGAACCATTGACACTCTAGGCTGTTTCCAAATAAGATCTAGACCTGAAATTTTTCCCAAAGATGCTGATGAGGCTAACTCTGTATGCAGGATAATACAGCATTAGATAACATCAGTTAATTAGATTAAGCCTGGTATATGAAATGTACTAAATAAATATCTGAACTGTAAATTAGAAGGGATTGATATGACAGTATGAAAAACCTTGCTCTATTTAATCCTCTCAAATTTGATTCACATGATGCAGCAGTGCCTGGTGGCTCTGTGGGCCAAAATACTAACCGAAGGAGGGAAAGCAGCCAGGAATTTTATTTCCATTTATAGCCAAAAAAGTCAGTATTAAAGCAACTGTTATTCACTCATATTCATATCTGTAGTTATCACTGTCAGAGCAGCTTTCCTTTGAAATACAGAGGAAAAATCCACTTCTACCACAGGCAGCATTGTATTTTTCGAAGGCTTGGATTAATTTGGCCTGAAGGTAACAAGTGGAAAAGAACAGATTAGTTCAGTGCTGGGCTCGTGCCATGCACGGGTCCAGGAATCCTGCCTTTGCCCTAGTCCTGCAGTGAGCTGCACATTGCTAGAGTTACCCTGCATCATTCATTCACAAGCTGGGAAATCTTCCTGCTGACTCATGCTTATAAGTATTTTCCTGGCTCCACCTCCATTCATTTCAGCTCCACCTCTCTGCACTTAGAGCTGTAGCCTACTATATTTAAACAGCTGTCTGAGAGCAGAGAGAGGATTCAAGGGTTGAAGTTTTGCGGTTTTCCTGACCGTACTGGCGTTTTCAGAAAAATTGTGTTGCTTCTCATCAAATCTGCTGCTAAAAAGGTAAGATGACTGTAAGGGAATATTAAGAGCTCTATTTGTGTGGTATACTAGAACACATTGCTTTCTCAAGGATCACGGGAATGTTTCTAGAATGATGTATCTCTGTTTCACAAAGTTGAATTGCTCCCATGTACTTTGTATGTGGTGTAACTGGACTCACATGTAAGACTGATCATACAGGTGGGCAAAAGAGCTCCTTAAACTCGCAGGGAAGTGTCAAAGTTAATGGGACATCTCTCTTAAAGACTCAATGGATGAAATTAATAACCTCTTAAATAGCTGCTTCTGATATCAATGTGGGGTGAAGAAATGAAGCTGAAGGAAGCTGTTGCATTTCTGTAACTGTTCTTGTTAACCCTAAGTGCCATAAAAGCACTTTCAAGCTCTTCTCTTCCTTATGTACTCACTGCACTGCTCTTCTGAGCTCTATCCATGTGCTGTAAAGGCCTTCCTTATCTGTCCTTACTGGAGCAGAAGTCTCACTGACATTGTGGGGAGACCTATTTGCATGTGGCTGATGTAGCTTGGCCTTTCTCAAACTAAAGATACTCTAATTCTGTTGTCCCACTAACACTTATTTGCCTTTTTTCTTTTGCTTGCTTAAGGCTGTTTTCAGCGGCGCAGCCTGGCAGTGCCGGGGTCACACTGACCTGCTTTGTGAGTTACGGGCCCTCTAGGCATGGGGCTGTGCCTGGGAGTGTGCAGGATTTGGCCCAGCATGATAAGCTGGCAGCTTTCTTGAGCCTGGACAATTATGTAATGTTTCATCAGCAGAGAAATAAAGGCTTTGGAAGCAACAAGGGGAGGAATTCTGGAACTTGCAGCATTTTCCTGAATAGGAGAGGAGGAGAGAGACCCCTGTTTAAAATAGGAAGTTGAAAGCAGGAGCCAAAACAGTGATCGAGTGCCCTGAACTGGCTACGTGTGAGCCTGCCTTCCCAAAGGGAAGTGAGAAAAGCAGTCTTGTGCTTCTTGTCACCTGAGGCTTCTCTTTCTTTCCTGTTGTGGCTAGTTAAATAGCTCTGTACAGATTCGAAGTGAACTTTGGTGTCTCATGTGCTTTACAGGAGCCTCCGGAAGAACAGGGATTCATCGACTGTGGTGAATTAGCTGTAGGGGTTGTAGAGGTGTGTGTGCTTCCTGATTTTTGAGACTGTCAAATCTAAACAACAAGCAAAAAGACTTACTTCTCATCACAGAAAAAGTGAACGTTGGGCCTGAAAATTCAACAGCCATGATGCTCTGAGCATAATTTTGCCTACAGCATGTCACACACCTAGCCTGCATGTTGGGAATAGCTCTAAGCAGGCTCAGTAGTTGATTTATTTTCCGATGAAAATGCAGTTAGTAACTGTATACCATAAAGTGATAGGTCTAGGATGTGGAAGGGGCTTCTCTCTATATAGAGAGAGGCTAAGATGAACAGAAGCAGCTTCAATAGTAATTTCATGTTGGTAGTATTGCCCAGTGTCAAAACTTTGAGGAGCAAAGTGTGTGGCACTAAAATGAGCTTGATGGGATTTGTGAATCCAGATCTTGGCTAAAACTGCAGCTTAAAAAGGTCACCTATATACCTGAATCAAGGAATGCGTGCCAAATTGGCAGTTGTACCCTAGCCTTCAAGGTTTGACTTTAATTTCAGCAAACAGTGCTTTTTCATATATCAAAAGATTCTGACTGGAGGTGCAGGGTGAAATGAGGAGAGGGATCTCCTGGGGCTGCTGCTTTGCACCGCTGTTCACAGTGTGTTGGGTGGCAGCGCAGTGGCCAGGAGCCCAGGCAAACTCCCCTGGAAGCAACCAGGAGTGCAAGGCTGTTTTCTACTCTCTGGTTCCTATTCTTGTCCCCTTCTGGTTCCCCTGCAGGAACTCTGGCACAGAGCAGCGTGATTTTGTGCCCAAGTCTTGCAATTGGGCTGATAGGCTCATTATTTTTACAGTGGCTTTGCTGCTCCCTTGGAATGGTTGCACTGCACTGGGTTGCTTCAGCAGTCCCTGCTCCCAGCAAATATCCCACGGATGTTGCTGGGTTACCGCTGTCTCCAGACGTGCAGCTCTCCCCAGAGCAGGAACCTGCACGTGGCTTTCCAGAGAGTTTGTCTCACGTTTTCATGCAGTGTTTTCAGAGATAAAACAGCGTTAGGAAACGCTGAGAACTTGGCTTGTTGCGTAGTACAGCCTTGGGTTACCATGGAGAAGAAACCTTCGCCAACCCTCAGATGTGTGCTGCGATTTAGAGTGCTCTCAGTGAACATCCTCCTGATGAGACTGGTGTGCTGTGTCTCTAGTCTTGGGCCATGCCAGGTGCTGAACTCTTCCAATTCCACCAGTGGACTTTTGTGGTAGAAAACTTGGGGATTAGCTTATGCAACAACTCATCATGCCAGAAGTTTTAGGGGATGCTTGCTCTGCTTCTTGGTGAAGGCACAAGTAGCCTTAAAAGCTAAGAAGCACCTGAGTGCAAGGGGTGCTTGCAAGATTCGTATGGAAATTCATGATAGCTACATGGCAGTAGCGCTGTTCTACTCTGCATGAGCAGAAGTGAAGCTTTCATTAACAAGTTGCACCACTTCAGTTGGAGGATTCTTTGCTACCCAAGTTGCCAGCTGTTGCTGCGGACTGAAATGTGTGTGTGGAGGAGAAAGATAAGAGCCCTTTCCCTTTTTTTCTGATATAATCGGGGAATCAACCTTTAACTTCTAAGAAAAAAAAAAAGAGTGGGCCTGTCCTGAGTGTGTGTGTGTCAAGTAGGGCATGATAAATGGGTAATACACTGGGTTAGTCAGCCCTGCAAGTCACATTTTTGTCAGAAAAGCTCATCATTTAAAATTTCTGTATTTTACCAGGTGGACACCAGGACCTAGATGCTTTCGGACAGGAAGATGTATTCAATACTGAACAAACACCCAAACAGGAATGGGTTTAAGCTGCTTCCTGTGGTGATTATAGGTAAGTTTTCTTTTGCCAGCCTAATTGTGTTCACTAATGCTGCTTTTGCTTTGGTCTGGCTGTCATTTTTGTTCAGTGTCATCTTAACACCAGAATTGTCCTGGTCACTGTTCTGCCCCCTTTCCCTGATAGCCAGACCTTCTCTAGTGCTGGTATGAAGGGAGTGGTGGCAAGTAGGAAAACAGGTGTTTGGCAAACTAAAACACATGCCTGTTTTTCCACTAACAAAAATGGTAACCTTTTGGACATCAGGTCATCTGGACCTGATTTTTTTCCCCTCTTGGGTGCTTAGAAGGGTTTGAAACCATTTCACTGAGGGGAAAAAAAAGTCACTAAGGTTGATTAGCTGCTTGTAGTACTTGAATTAGCGTGTGATCTTTTTTCCCCTCATCATGTGTGGCTTGGGAAGTGATCCAGATGCTGTTGAAGTTTCTGCGAATTTTTATAGATCCTTTAAATACTAAAGTAAATCTTTTGACGTGTGCAAATCAGCTATACTGCTATTTTACCAAAGCTATTACCTTCTGTATAAATTTGTGGCTTTTTTTCACCATGTTAGAAACTAATGCATTAACTGTGCTGTGTCCCTTGTGAGAGGGAGCTTGGTAACGTGGGGTGATGCTTGGAGCAAGAACGAGAGGTGATGGGGGAGCCTTCTGCTCCGTGGCTCTTGCCAGCTGAGTTCCTGCCTTATCTGTCCTGCCATCCATTGCCCCTGAGTTAGTCCAAGGCTTGTGCAGGACATGTTACATTTAACCCTTGCTGACCCTTGAGCAAGCCTCATGGGGACACTGCAGCCTGTGGGTTGAATTCCGAGGGTGACTTTCTGCTGCCCTTTTGCAGCAGGGCAGGATGCTTTGGTACATCCCAGGTAGAGTGTTGGGAAATTAATTCAATTTTTTTATACTTCCTGAAGTGAAGGAGCAAGCTGAGACCATACTATATTGTCCTACAGCTGCAGTGAGGCTTGCTTTTAATTTCTACTGCTGCCTGGTTTTGGTTGGTAACTCTCCAGCAAATAGCATATTCCAAGCACTGACCAACAGCCACCATCTTCACCCAGGGTCAACTGGGTTGATTTCGACTCTTGCTGCAGAAGGTGGCTGCCCTTAGCATAGCTCAGACAAGTGAGTTTTATAGCCCAAACCTCCATCTCAGATGCCTGAGAAGTGCCCTCTGCTCCAGTGGCTGTGGCAGGTGGCCCCAGCACTGCGTCACCGCGGCTGCTGTGTCACTTCAGCAGTCCTGCCCTGCATCGTCACTGCATTATGTAACTGAGGTTAGTCACTCAGTAGCGAGCAGCAGATCTCTGGACCAGAGTGGCTGACAGCTAGTTATGCGGACTCTGTAAAATATTAAACATACTGGACAGCAGCCATGTGAAAATTTTCCACAGGCTACTCTCACTGTGTTTTGAGTCACATATATCATGTCTTTCAGCTGGCTACTGGGTGGTCAGCTGGACAAGTTACTCATCCAGTGACTTGCTCGGGGCTGCATTTTGAGAGAGTGTCTTGGCATGGCAGAGACTTCTCTCTAACTCGTTGCTTGCGACCGCTGTAGTTTCAGGTCCAAAGTTTTTCAGAGTCACCAGCCAAAGCTCGTATTGCTAGAGAGCCCTTATATAGCATTTCTTGCTGAAAGTAAGAGCTCTGCTGAAGAGTTGCCTTTGGTCTTCTGTTCCTCTGGATTTGTTCTGCATCCAATAGCCAATGAACTGACCTGCACAGATGGGATGTGTGTCCAGCAGAGATGAGGCCCCAGTCAGTATTTTAACAGATCTGACACTTTTAAACTAACCACAGTTTTCTCCTCCTGGCAAATAAAAGGATAGAAATGGTGGCAGTGGGACATATGGAGAGAAAATCCATCTTCAGAGCCAGAAGCAAGAAGTTAGCAATTATTTAATTACTCATTAGGCCAGTGACTTCAAGCCTCAGTGAGGTTAACCTCTGGCTTGTTTAAACCAATGCTTTTTCAGCCAGTTCTGAGGCACTTACAATAAGAGACACAACTGAGGAGTGGAAGGGGAAACACGAGAAAGATTCCTTCCCCAACTCCATCTAGTAGGGCAGTGGGTACCCTCGCAATAGAAAGTCTTCTGTATCTGCAGTGGTGTCTTACCCTTTGAACTGTTGTCTGTTTTCAAAATACTTCTCCAAGGGCTGTTCTATCTACAGAAGTATGAAATCTTTTTTACCATTTTTTACTTTTAGGGAATGGACCTTCAGGAATCTGCCTGTCCTATTTGCTGTCAGGCTATGTCCCTTATTTCAAAAGAGACTCTCTTCATCCTCATTCCATTCTGCAGAGGAAACTTGAAGAGGCACCAGATATCTCCATATTGGATCAGGTTTGTATTTTAAAAAAGCTTAGTGAAGTATAGTGAAGTGTCTCGGGGTATTTTATAAATGATAACCTCTTTGATTTTTGAAGTGCATGGGCAGATCCACCCTTAAACAAAAGACTATTTAGTTGTCCCAATTTCCCTTGTGTGCAGTGCCAGCATTGCTGTTGAGATTCTTGAGATAATTTTCAAATGCTGGGGCTATGTGCCAACTGATGAATTTCACAAAACTCTAAAAGCACTGATTGGAAGTTGAGTAGTTTGAAGTAGTCTTCATGGCATGACACACGTTTTAAGCATCTACTCTGTCTCCTTATAGGATTTGGAGTATCTGTCTGAAGGGTTGGAGGGACGATCCCACAGCCCAATGGCTCTTCTGTTTGATACTCTTCTGCGTCCAGACACAGACTTTGGTGGAACGGCAGAATCTGTCCTCACTTGGTGGCACGAGGCCAACAGAGCTATCCCGCACTTGGTCCTTGGCAAAAACCCTCCTGGAGGTGCTTGGCATGTATGTGAATTGAAATCTAATTGCTTAGGTCTGCATGTTGAAAGACAGCCAAAAGTCCTAACCAGATAGCTGAAGGGTGCTCAAAGAAAACACTGGGGGAGGGAAATGAAGTGCACTTATTTGCTTTTGAAATCATCTATGCCAATGGATCAAATGGAATCACTGACTACGTGATATGTGACATACTGCAACATGACAAAGTGGCATTTTTCTTATTCTTAAATGGCTTTCAGTTATTTAATGTAGTTATGTTTCTTGTTCCAGTCTATTGAAGGATCTATGATTACCCTGAGCAGAGGAGAATGGATGGGACTCCCAGACCTCCCATTCAAAGACTGGCTGAGGCAAAAGAGAAGGTGAGATATTTATGGTGTGATTGTTTATTTGCAAAGATCTAAACGCTATTTGGGAACCTGGATTGGCGTTTACTCCTTTGATGTAGTATGGATGGTTCTAGTGAAAGGAAAGGAGCTAGAGCAGTGTGTCCACTTCTGAAGTCCTCATTGGGGATGGCTCAGTTCTGAAAATGCTTGTAGAATTCATGGTATTTTGTGTGTCCATTGCTCTTGCCTCAGTAACAACTATAATGATCCCAGGTACTGTGGAATCTCTCAGGTGTTTGGGAGATTTTAGACACTTGCAATCTGAAAAAGTCCAGGAGATAAAAATGAAATACAAGTGAGAAATGTAAGAGGAAGGCATAAATCAGTTACTGTGTTCTTGGGGAGGGGGTTCGTAGAAGAGTTGCCTCCATCCAAAAACCTGTGAAACTCTCTGTTACCTCTGTAGAATAAGCTTGCTGAAGACTAGAAAACATGATGAGAAAAAAAGAGCAATCTCCTCTGTTAGTGCCAGGATAGGCTCTAGGATACATTTAGTGCAAGAGTGAGAAATTCTAAGTTCATACTTAACTGCAGCTTCACCTTTACTTATAATGTATTGCAGAGGCCTTAGAAACGACAGAGCCACAGCAGAAGATATTGCTCAATATTACCAACATTATGTGATGAAGAAAGGACTGCAAAAGAACTTCAGATGTGGGACTGTTGTGACCTCTGTGAGGAAAGTGACTAGAGAGAGCATCTCCAGTCATTCACAGAAAGATCTGCAGGAGGGAAGTGACTCACTCTGGAACTTCACTGAGGAAAATATGGAGGTCTTTAAGGTGGATGGATTTTTCAAAAATGCAAAAGGTGATAAGGAACCCTTCTCCATCTATGCACAGAATGTGGTCTTAGCTACAGGAACATATGATAGTCCCACTTGGCTTAGGGTCAAGGGGGAGAACCTTTCTTATGTCCACCACCAGCTCTCTGCCCTAGAGGAGGCAGTGAAAGATGGCAGCATTAGCATCATGTCAGATCCAGTCTTGATTGTGGGTGCTGGTTTGACAGCTGCTGATGCAATTCTCTTTGCTCACTACTGCAACATTCCAGTAATCCATGCTTTTCGGAGAAGAGTCAATGATCCAGGTCTTATTTTTAACCAGCTCCCCAAAATGATGTACCCTGAATACCACAAAGTCCATCAGATGATGAAAGAACAGACTGCTGCTTGTTCTGGGCCCTATGAGTGTTACGTTAGTCTTCCTGAACATCATGTCCTATCCTTTGGCAAGGACAAGAAATGTATCCTTCAAGACAAGAACGGCTACCAGAAAGTTTATAAAATTTCCATGGCTCTTGTTCTAACTGGCTCAAACCCCAATCTTTCCTTTCTGCCCAATAATGGCATTGACTTGGCAATGGACTGTGACCAACCAGTCAATCCCAAGAGGAATCCCATAGATGTTGACCCATTCACCTATGAATGCACTCAGGAGAAAGGGCTTTATGCTCTAGGACCCTTAGCTGGGGACAACTTTGTACGCTTTGTGCAGGGAGGGGCTCTGGCAGTCGCCAGCTCTCTGTTAAAGAAAGCAAATAAAAATCCCCCCTAATGAAAAAACACATGCTAACAACATCCAAGTGGGCTACTGCTGTTTTCCTAGAGAAGCAAGTCTCTATGTACACCCTCAAATGTGAAGTCCCCACTCCTGGTTTTCACCAAGGTTATACAGAGAGTCATCAAGTTTTGCTGAGTTATTTGGGAAGATTAAGCCATCAAATGCAGAGAGGAGGCTTCATATAGGGACACCTTGAACCTTGGGGGATTCAGCTCCTTCCCTGCATGGCTGTGCAGAAAGGCCCAAATCTTGTGTTGCAAAGGTGGAGAGCAAGTGACTGCTCTATATTACACCTTCCAGGCTACTGAAAATAGAATTGGGGAACAAATATTAATCATTTCCCAGACAGCAAGCTGGCAATCCTGTGTCTGTCAACATCTTTCTGTCCAGTGTTTTGGGATGAAACAAAGTGAGTCAATGTGATTGCACTTGCTCCTGTGGCTTAGCTCTGTGTTCTTATTAGGCAAATTGCTGAAAGATGTGGGCAAATTTTTGGCACTTAAAGTGGTATCCTATGAATAAAAGCTGGCTTAGAAGCACAGTCTAAACCATATTTTCTTACTGATGATGTCAGCAACATCATATATATAATATATATATTTTATTCTTGTTTTTTTTTAATTAAAAAGTAATGCAATGGTTTGTTTTCTTCTTCTGAAAAGCCTTCATAAGCAATGGTGCTGCCTTACAAATACCAGTTTGCCCTCCTATAGCAATTTACTTTCTAACTCCTAAGACTGTAGTGCTGCCTTCTCAGCAGCTGCTCTAAAGACAACAGAATTAAAGGGAGCTACTGGCTTGTCTTGAAATTCTGTCCATGTTTTGTGTGGGATTTCTGCTGCAGATTACTGCAGGAAGAAGCAGTATGTAGTAGTATGAATTCCTAATCTAGCATGACTTTTAAAGATTGCTGTTTATGAATTTAATGTTTGTATTGGCAAAGCACTTTATTAGAGACTCTACTGGGTGGGATTGGTGCCTCATGGTACAAATCTCACTCTCAATTGACCTACAAGATGTTCCATACCTCTCGCAGGAAAAAACATCATCATGGTTAATGTTACTCAGTATACTGAGACTGTGCTCCCTGTGGTGCACTGAAACTCACTGGCATGACAGGATGCTAAAAATGTCTCTGGAAAGTTGTGTGTAGGGACAGTGGCTGTTTGCTATGACCCTCACTGGTTGTTGAGGGAGACATGCAAGGAACTTGTTTGCAGTGTTGTATCTCATGGGAATATTTTCATCAGGGACTGTACTTGTATGAAATATTTTTCAATAAAATGATTTCAGACTTACTCTCAGCATGTTTGTGTTTTTCTCTTTGAATCTTCAACCAAGAGAAGATCTAACAAACTTCATGGGTTCCTGGACTAAACCAGGATGTGGGGTGATGTGTCCATGGATCCCACCTCCCTTTTTCTTAGGGGCATAACATTCTAAGGAGATGTTTTCCACACATCTTCCTCCCCCCTTTATGATGGACAACCTTTTTGTAGACATTACCAAAGTGTGCTTTCTCCTCTTGTGAGCCTAAACCATGCTCAGAACAAAGGTTTTTTTTGCCTAGAGCATTACTCCTAGGAGACTTTAGATCTTGTTACTTTGTGTCTTCTGCTGTCTGGAAAAGTCCCAAATCAAGGTCTAGCCTGGCAGATGATAGGATCATTTAGATTGGAGGAGGCATTTGAAGGTCTGTGGTCTGACCCCATTAAAGCTTGGTTAACTTTGAGGTTAAAACAGATTGCTCAGGGCCTTGTCTAGGAAAGCTCTTAACATCTTTGGGGATGGAGGTTCCGTGGTGTCTTTGGGACATCTGGTTCAATGTTTGGTCAACTTTTCTGTGGAGAATTGTGGGATGTTTGGCTCTCCTAAGTATCTCATTGAAACATCCTTATATGGGTAATGCAGTGCCAGCTTATGCGTCCCTAGAAGAGATAAGTGAGTAACTGGTACTCCCCTTGGCCACCTCCTGCTGCTCCTCCTGACTGGTTTCCATGCAGAATATGGAGCTGGGAGCTAAAATGCCCACTTCAGCCAGAGGAGAGAGGCCTGTGCTCTCTGCCTGAGCTGCCCATCTTCCTGCCTTTCAATAATTTGGAGTCTTCTGCGAAATGAGAGGGCTCTGAACTTCCTGGGTTGTGCCAGCACATCCTGTGGCAGGAGATTACCCTGCTTTCAATATCTGTCTTTCTCGCCCTAGAGGGATGAGCAAATTGAAAATTATACAGGGCTTTTTTTTTTTCCCCACAATTGGTACTTAGAAGACACCCTATGTTCTGCCCTATAGGGACATTAAAGCAGGAAACCTCGTGAGCGGGGATGGTGGTTTACTCAACAACTGCGAGTCCTCAGGGCGAGATTGCTCCATGCTGATCCGCAGCGGCTGTTGCAGAGCTCTCCGTAACCAGGGAGACAATGGGAATTACTGTTCCAAAACACCGCGAGTCAATAGATACCAGCTTTGTTAGGCCTGGGCTTCGTCTGTGCATTATAACCTTGACCTGCAGCATCTGACAGGGCCTACAGGGAAAGAATAGTCTCCTGAAAAGCTTCCGTGCGTCACGCTGCTCCTGTGAGAGTGACGCAGCTTCTTCAGGAAAGGCGCCAAGTATGTTGGCCGCAGCCTCCATCGCTGCGTGTGCAGCCCAGCCAGGAGGTAACTCTGACGGGTTGGTTGGTGATTTCAAGTTCGAGACCACTTTGCTGGCTTGTTCTAGCCCTTTGGTGTCCTCTACCTGGTGCCTGCAGCACCAGTGACTGGAGCAGGTCCCTTGGAGAAACAGCAAGCAACTTTCTGACCTGCTCAATTCAAACAGAGCAGGTTTTTGTGATCAAACCCCTGGTTTCCACAAGCGTGTGACCCAGTAAAATCCAGCAGCACCTCCCAGTCAGATATTTCCTTTCCATCCTCAGCAGGGACTTCTAAACTCCCCTCAGTTTCCTTCCTAGCCTGGTAAGACCTCAGTTCTTGTCTTTTCAGAACAAGCTCCCAAGACTTATTGGTACTCACCAGGAATGGTTGGAAACTTTTGTAGCCTGAATAGAAGCAAGGATTTAATATTTACCTATGAGAAACAAGAGAGAGCTCTGTGTTCTGTGTTTTTTTTTCCCCTTCACTTTTATCGAGCTGGTAAGTGCTTGTAGTCAAGGATGATGTGTCTTAAATAAACGTGCTAGTGGGTGCAGCAGCAGGGACTGTGCAAGTCCAAACTTGGGCCTCGTAGGGTGCAAGTCACAACATGAACTTGCTGATTCTGCTGTGGGCTTGGCTTAAGGAGCTGGGGAGTGAGACCTGAGGGCCATGGCCACATTAGGATCCTCCGTTTTACAACCGAGAAACAGAGCAAAATGTCTCGCAGTATTTCTGCCCCTGGCTGCATGAATGTGCCCTTCTGCTCTGTAACAGACACCCGTGCAAATTTTGGCTCAGGGAAACAGAATCTATTAATACACTGATTTACAGGAGCCTGCTTGGGAAGGGTTAGGGCAGGCAGCTTTCATGAATTTTGTGCAAGCGAAGCAGAAAGGGATCTTGTTTCCTTGCCCAACTTTTACCGCTTGCATTCACTTCTTGGAAGTGCTGCTGGAGGCTCTGCGTGATTTCGCAGCTGGAAGGCTGGAAATGGAAAAAAAAAAAAAGAAAAAAAAAGGAGAGGAATCCCAAGTAAGGCAGCGTGCACTCTGCATCACTGCCAGCTGGGGAAACACTGCTTGTCAGGAGGTGAAAGTACTATTTATTTAAGATATTTCTCCTGCAGGTGAATTTCCATAGCTTGGTCTCATGGGAGGCAAAGGGCTGGTGCAATAACCGCAGGGTCCGTCTTTTTTGCCAACTCCTGCAGCCCTGTGAGGGAAGGCACCAGCATCAGGTGTTTGATTACCGGCAACCTCCCCAGGCCAACAGGGATGGTTTTGCCACCGGTGTCAGGTCTGGGAGGATTTTCCTGGTGAAACAGTGGCTGCATGAGGACTGGGAATGCAGTTTTCCTTGAAAGGGGCTGTGGATGTACAAAGTTACTGCTGACGATGAAGTGAGCATTTGGGGATATCATACTGGGCAAGTCTCCACATTTTAGTTAGTGCTTTTATAGGCCACGGAGCATTCTGCCAGGAAGACAAAGTCTAACCAGAGGACACGCAAAGGACAGGATGAAATCACGCCTTTAATGGCAAAGGAATAGCGAACTGGCAAACCAGAAGAACTATGATTTTGTTTTTATGAGACCACAGAGCAGTTTCTGGCTAAAACATTCATCCTTTCTGAGAGCTGGCCCAATGCAGCAAACATCAATCGCCAGTTGGCATTAATACCCAAGCTTTCCGGTATTACCGTAACTCTCAGGCAAGTCTCAAAGGAACACATAATTTTCAAAGCTAATAAACTGACCAAAACATCTTTCAGCTGAAAAGGCCAGGAAATTTGTGTATTAGAAACAAATTCCTTGGTGCTGTTTTGCGGTAATAACTGCACTACACAGTGTAAATGTTAGGGTCCAGCAAAAACAACGCAACCGCAAAGCAGGGTGACCCTGAACCTCAGGCTCAGTGGAGACATGGGGCCACTGTGGCCCCTGGTGAATCCGGTTGAAAGTGCCTGAGCCAGGGAAATTGCGGCCCCGGCGGCCGGCAGTGAGTGGGGATGGAAAGCTGTGGCCACGAGGCATCTTTGGGCATTGGGAGAATGTTGTTTGACTAAGCCAAGTCCCAAAGGGCATCGTGAACTGCAGCCTGCAGTCCCGCTCAGTGTGCTGGAGGGACTGTTTCACCAAACTGGCTGTTTCTTGCTTTAGTTTGTATTTCCATCTTTAATTTGCAATTCTTTTGAAAAGTCAAAATAGATAAGAAAAGTCAGCAGTGCCACCAGCAGGGCTGACACAGGCTCAGATGTGCCCTCCAAAGCCTGGCCGCAGGGAGATGAGGGCCAAGTAAAGATTTGGCTTCCCAAGCTACAGCCCATTGGGGTGTAATTAGGGCACCTGTGGGGAGGTAATTAATGCCCTCCCCAGCCAGAAGGGATGTCCTGAAGGGGTCTTTGGAAACAGGCAATGGTGGCCATTGCTGTGGGGCAGCATGCGGGCTGGTGGCAGCTTTAAACTAACTCCATCTCCAACCTTTCGTGAGCTCTGCAGCTCGCCCAGCTCCCACACGTGGGGCTCACTGCCTCCGTTAGCAGCTTTCCCATAAAAACCGGTCTCCT